CGCACAAACGCAGCCACCTCGCATTTTAAGGACCACGAACCGACCACTTCGGCGACCTGGGATCAATGCCGAGAGGTTAAGGCGGGTTGACTCGAAATATCAACTGGGCTTCGCCCGCGCAGGTTGGAATCCCGTTGGTCGCGCATTTTTTTTTTTTTCCTTGTTCAAAACAACCGCCAACTTGAAAAGGCCAGGTGGTCCTCCTCCTCTCCTCCTACTAGCCAACTCTCACCTCAACACTCAGCACCCTGTTCCCAGTGGGCACAGGCACAGTGCCGTGCTGCTGACACTACTCACATCAACTACTCGAAATCAACTGGGCTCTGCCCGCGCAGGTTTGAATCCTGTTGGTCGCGCATTGTTTTTTTTTTTCCGCTTGCTTTCGCCCCCACAACAAGACGAAAGACCACAAAACAACAACTAAAGCTTCACACCCCCCACCACGCGCTCCCGCACAAGCTAACACACACACACACACACACACACACAGACACACACAGACACACACAGACACACACACACACACACACACAGACACACACACACACACACACGCACACACACACACACCACCATGGAGTGGCTCACCGAGACCATCTCTGGGCTCTTCGCCGCAGAGACCGTACGATCTCATCTCTCGATTTGATCATGGCGTGTGTCCTTGTTGTTGTGGGTTGTTGGTGTTGGTGTTGTCGGTCCTTGAGGCTGCGTTCATGTTGTGTTGAGGTTGTTGCTTTGTTTGTTTGCTGCTTTGTTTGTTTGCTGTTGTATTTGATCCCATCAAGCAAGCACCACTGCGTGCTTGGTGTCCTCCTGTGTTTCTCTCTCCCTCTCTGTCTCTTTCTCTCTCTTTGCCCTTCATATGCACACGTGCCTCCAACAGCACATGTACACTTGCTCCTTCTCTCTCGCTCGCTCTTGTGCACTCTGGGAGTTGGCCCGAGCAGCACACACACACACACACACACACACACACACACACACACACACACACACACACAAACACACATACACACACACACACATACATGCACACCATTAGGATGAGGACAAGCGGAAGAAGGACGACGACTTCAAGCCCGCCGACACAACCACTACTAGCAGCAGCAGCAGCACCAGCGCGGACCAGCAGGGCGCAACCAGTAGTACTCAAAACAGAACGATTCGCTTGAGAGCAGCAAGTGTACTGGTTGGCTGACTGGTGAACAAAGCAAGGCAACACAAACATACGCCACTTCTCATGTACGTACGTGCGTGTACCCAAACAACAGAACAAGCGGCATCTCCGATCCAAAGTTCTCGATGACCATCACGACAAGTGGGCCACAGATCTACAGCAAGCGATCCACGTCACCTAACATCACCACTGACTAGCCCACAACCCAACACAGACACACACACACAGACGGACACACACACACACACACACACACACACACACACACACACACACACACACACCCTCTACCCGACGACCCCTAACCTCCCGTCGTTCATTGTGCGTTCATCGCGCGAGAATCAAGCGAACATCTTGGAGAAGAGCTTCTTCTGCTGCTCCATTGCCTTTGTCTTCTTCGCCTCCACGCGCCGCAGCAGCTTGGCCATGGCAGCGTCCTCCGGTGCAATGCGCGCCCCTTCCTTTGCCACCTTCACGGCCTGGTCATAGTCCTTCATGTTCTCCAGGACAAGCGCCTTCCTGTACCATCCCTTGGCGCTGTCCTTGTTGATGGCCAGTGCCTCGTCACATGATGCAAGCGCTTTCTTCCATGCAGACTGCTTGATGTAGCACATGGCCAAGTTCAGGTTCAGCACGCACTGGTGGGTGGCGATGCGTGGCGATGGGCGGTGATGTGTGGTGGGTTTCGGGGAGGGTGAGATGGGAGTGGGATGGTTAGGAACGCCGAAGATCGCTGCAGACTTGATCAACGCAGAGTGCACACGCAGACACTGATGCCAACACGGATGCCAACACAGACGCAGACACGGACACACAGACACACATAGACACAGACACAGACAAACACAGACACAGACACAGACAAACACAGACACAGACACAGACACAGACACACACAGACACACACACACACACACACACACACACACACACACACACACACACACACACACACACACAAAACATCACCTCCACCCAGCACAGCGCAGCACACCTTGACGTCGTTGACTTCCTTCTCGTCGTCTGGGGAGAGGTCAAAGAACTTGGTAGTGAGGGCCAGTGCACGTGCATAGCGCGCGGTGGCGTGGGCGTAGTTGCCGCCCTTGAACAGTTCCGTCGCCTCGTTCTTGTTGCGCATCACCTGTTGCATGCGCTTCTCCTTTGGAAGCTTGCGGAAGTCGTGGTCATCCTTGTCTGTGGTCGGTTGCGGCCAAGGCACGTTCGTGCGCGTGTGTTCGTGTGCTGTGGATGAGCGAGACGCAGAACGACACGCGTCCTCGCCACAACAAGAATCGCAGCGTTCCCTCCTCTCACTGCTGACCAAACACAGACACAGACAGACACAGACAGACAGACAGACACACGCACAGGCAGACACACACACACACACACACACAGCACACAGACAGACAGACAGACAGACACATGCGCACCTTCGTTTTCGCGGTCTTTTACCCACTGCTCCTGCTCCTGCTTCGCCTGCCTTGCCTTCTCCTCCTCGTCGGCCCCGATCTTGGCGAACATGTCTGCGTTGATCTCCTCGACCTTGGCCTTCAGCTGCGCATACCGCTCCTCAAACGGCTCGGGCGTCGTTGTCTCGTGCGCTGCATCGCTGCACGCGTTGAGAAGAAGGGCGATGGCATTGGCGTGGTATTTAGGTGGTGTGGAGGTGAAGGTGAACGGGTGATCAGGCGCAGACCGATTGCGCAGTACACACACATACGCACACACAGACGGACACGCACACACAGACGGACACACACACACAGACGAACACACACACAGACGGACACACACATACACACACACACACACGAACACACACGCACGCACACACACGCACACACCTGTCGATCCACTCGAGCGCTTCGTCGAGGAGGGGCTGCGTCTGCTCGCGGTTGAACAGGTTGCCGTGCGGGCCGTCGCCGAGGGAATTGGCGTTGAGCACATACGCCTCCAATGTGTTGCGCGCATCCATGATCTGCACCACCGACGGAACGCAGAATGTGAGGATACGAGAGAAAGAGGGAGCGACAGACGGCTATAACCACACAGACAGATACACAGGCACACAGAGACACACACCTACACACATACACATGCACATGCACAGACACACATGCACAGACACACACATGCACAGACACACGCACACACAGGCACACACACATACATACACATACACACACACACGTACAAACAGGCGCACACACACATACATACATACACATACACAGACACACACAGACACAAACACATGCCCCCCCCCGCCACGAGTTATCATCCGCACAAACATACCCTGCGCATGAAAGCGTCCTGGTCGATGACTTGCTTGAGGCGGGCGACGGTGTCGCTCTTGCTGGCGTCATCCGATGACCACTGCGCCACGCCACCAACACGGGCCACCAGCCCATCGACAGCTGGTGTTTCCGCATCCCCCTCCGCTGCCTTGTCAGCCTTGTTGTCGTCGTCATCTACTTGCCCTTCTTCCTTCTTCTCCTGCTTGTGCTCCTTCTTCTCGTCTGCGACGATCTTGCCTGCAAGCAACGCCGCGCCAATGGCGACGCAGGCAGAGCGGTCGAGCGTGCAGCGCAGCTTGCTGTCATCACCGCCAACAGCGACCACGAGGGCGTTCTGGATCATGGGGATGCAAGTGGCGCCGCCCACCAGCTCAACACCGTCCACCTTCGCCGCCGCATCATCAGCAACACCACTGACCGTCATGGCTTCGGTGACAGCGGCCTTGAAGCGTTGCAGCTCCGTGGCGCAGACAGACTCAAACATGTCGCGTGAAATGTCAAAGTGGTAGTTGTCGTCGTTGGGCCCAAAGGCCTCCAGCACCACCGTTGCCGACTTGTTGGCACTGAGCATCTTGCGGGCTGCACCGCACTCCTTCAACAGTCGCAGGCCGGCGCGCTTCGACGTGTCCACTTGCACGTTCTTGCGTGCAAGCAGTTCCAGCACGTGTTTGGCCAGGGCGGCGTCAAGGTCGTCGCAGCCGAAGCGAAGGCTGCTCGTGTGCAACAGCTCCAGTGCTCCCGTCCCCTTGACGTGTAGGCCAACGCTCACGCTGCTGAACGCCTTGCCAACGTCAGCAATCATGACATATTCGGTGTGATCATCTGTGTCGTTGTCGTTGTTGTTGCCGTCGCCATCGTTGGCAGTGCCATCACTGCTGGTGCTGGGGGTCGCCTTGCCCGCATACCGTTGCGTGAAGCGCTCTGCCAGGCACACGCTGCTGCCGACGACGTGGAACGACAGCGGCTTGCCGCTCAGCTCGGCGGCGAGGACACACGCATCGCCCACCCGCTTGCGTGCCTGGTCGTCGTACACGTCTGGGATGGCGAGCACAATCGTGTGCGGGGATGTGGCGTCCAGGGATGCCGTGGCCTCCATCAGCAGCATGGCCAGGATCTCCGTGGACGTGAAGGTGGCTTGGTCCTCGCCCTCCTTCAACTCGTATTGCACCGTGTATTTGACGGTGCCGTCGTCCTCGCACGTGTGTGGGACGCGCGTCACGATGATGCCGTCGCGGGCGCGGGCGTTGTCGGCGCTGGTCTCATGCTCGCCGGCGATGGCCTCGATGCAGTCTGTGATGGTGTTGCGCATGTTGGAGGTGGCCAGGTCCATTGCACCCTGGCCAACATATCGCCGCTTCCCCTGGAACGACACTGCAAGTGGGTAGATGAGCGTGTGTATGCGTTTGTGGCAAGGTGAGTAGGAAACGCTTGCAGAGCAGAATGGGGATGAAAGGCGGTACTGTTGAGCGAACGAGGGAGATATGACTGTGAGGTGTCACCTCACTCACTCCCACTCTCTCTCACACACACACACACACACACACACACACACACACACACACACACACACACACACACACACACACACACACACACACACACAGAGTTTAGGACACAATTTGCACCTGCTGGGGCGGTTGCGCGTCCGCCGGTCGGTGTGAGGAGGATGTCGACAGCGCCGTTGGGAAGCAGGCGCCCTGCAACGATGGCGGCGCTGCCAAGGTCAATCCCAACACACTCTGCGGTCGCTTGCGTTGTTGTCATCGTGGCGTTTTTCCTTTTCGCTTCTTGCCGGCCGGTGATGGTGCGATGTGCGATGTGCTGCTGTGATGTGGTGAATGCAGGTCGTGTGGATGGATGGGTGTGCACGTTGTCGCGGTTGTGGTGGTCGTCTGCGTTTCTGGAAGCGCCTGTGGTAAACTCATTTTTACCACCCACGCAAGCAAGAAGCCAGTTTGGCAAAAACCCATTGTGTGTGTGTGTGTGTGTGTGTGTGTGTGTGTGTGTGTGTGTGTGTGTGTGTGTGTGTGTGTGTGTGTGTGTGTGTGTGTGTGTGTGTGTGTGTGTGTGTGTGTGTGTGTGTGTGTGTGTGTGTTGTTCATCACAAGACTGCGGTTATTCATTCCAATCACATGGCTTCATTCATTTATGTTCATCATCAACGAAATCAACAACAAAAAAGGTCCCATCAGCATCACCACCACATACTTACGATGCCACATCACCACTGCCCCCCCCCCTCAACACACACGCCATCAGCTGAGGTGGAACCCGGAGTTGGAGCGAATAGCGGTGAGGAGTTTCGTGCGCAGCGTCTCCTCATCTTCATAAGGCGGCAGCTTCAGCAGGTTCACGCACGTGCTCGCGGTGGGCAGGCGCGTGGGGTCGAGGGCATTGCGGATGGCAAGCTTCGGCTGCAGGTACGCAAACCCCTGCAGGGGCGGGCGCGGGCAGGAGGTGATGAAGCGCAACAAGAGGCCACGGTCCTCTGGCGTCATCGCCGCCACAACGCGCCAGAACATGACAATAGTCGGGTGGGCGTCGTGGAAGCCGCCAGTGAGATGCGTGTTGCGGCGCATGTCCATCAGGTCAATGTCTGTCTGCGTTCCGCTGAGCAGCATTTGCAGCTCCGAGGGCCCAAACAGCTCCAGCCACTCGGGCGGGATGACAGAGTGCAGCCCGCTCGTAAACGACGACGACGCGCGCTCAATTTGGCGGTTGAGGTAGTAGTCCGCCATGTGCACCAGATACACGCTCACGTTCGCCCGCGTCACCTTCAGGTTGCGCCCGTTGGGCACAAGGTCCACCACGCGATGGCCCGTGAGCGGGCCCTGGGTGGCGGAGAAGGTGAGGTCGAGGTCGGCGAGCTGCTCGCCAGACATGGTGCGCAGCATGGCCAGGCTGCGGTACACCTGCTGGTCAAGCGACGCCAGCTGGCAGAAGATGTTGCGCTGAACGGGTGGCGTGTGTGTGTGTGTCATGGTGAGGGTGGTGTGTGTGTATGTGTGTGTATCATGGTGAGATGGTGCGAGGAAGGACCAACACAGCAACGGGAGTTGTGGTGGTTGGCACCCGTAAAGCAAGCAAGCAAGCAAGCAAGCAAGCGCGCAACATGGGCACACGCATGGCCGACACAGCACTGCCGTTTGTTGATCAGTGCCCACCTTTCCGAGGATGCGTGTGAGGAAGAACTGTGCGAGCGGCAGGTCAAGCAGCATACCCGTGTACAATGCCTGCCCAACCAACTTCCCAATAAACTCAAAGTGCTGGCAGAGCAACGCAGGCAGAACACAGTACGTGTGAGCGTGAATGGATTGGTGTGAGGGAGGGGCGAGTGCGTGAGTGAGTGCTGTGGGTGAGTGAGTGCATGTAAGTTGACTGCGTGGGTGCATGCGCAGCACAGCAGCAAAACCTCACCTGCGCTGCGTCGGGGACAATGTGGTGGATGTCCGGGTTTGGATACGCGCCGCCGTCGTCTGCCGTGCGGAACAGCCCACGGTCGGGATCTGATACCATGGTGGTGGTGGCGGTGGTGGTGGCGGTGGCGGTGGAGGTGAGCTGACAGCCCCCTTTGCCAAACACAAGCCATGAATGTGCGCACACATGCTCAATCTACATCCCATGCTTGCTTGGGCAGAGAGAGGGGCAGGGGGCTCACCAAACGCCTCCTTGATGGCCTGCTGGAGAAATTCCCTGAACAGCCCGCCGCCGTCAATCCCAGCCTCCGGCAGACCCTGTCAGAGAGAGGGAGAGGGAGTTGGGTGGTGGGATGGTTGGATGGATGGTGAGATGAAGATGGTCTATGAGGAGGCACACAGCGGCCTCATGGGTTGCTCTTCTTTGTTTTTTCTCACGCACGCACACACACACACACACACACACACACACACACACACACACACACACACACACACACACACACACACACACACACACACACACACACACACAAGCATGGGCGCAGGCACAGGCACAGACACACAGACATACAGACATAGACATAGACACAGACACACACACACACACACATCTACCTCTGCGTCGACGATGGTGACGGATGGGGGCTGCGACCAGCCGCCGTCGGGGGAGGACGAGAAGGCATCAAAGGCGTCCTCGTACATGCGCCCGCGCTGCACACGCAGGTGCTGGCGGCCGGCATACTGAGGCAGGGGTGTGGAGGGGGGTGTAAGAGGGATAGTGAGGGGGGCGGGCAGGACAGCATGGGTGGGAGTGTGGCAGGAAGACGTGCTAGACAGACAGAGAAGCAGACAGAGAAACACAGACACACACAGGGACACAGACACAGACAGACAGACAGACACATACACAAGCACAGACACAGACACAGACAGACAGACAGACACATACACACACACACAGACACACAGACAGACAGACACACACACACACACACACACATACACACACACACACACAAGCCCAAAAAAGTCGTTCGCAGCGCACCCTGAAAGCGCCTGTGCGGGCGTGCGAGGCGACAATCTGACGGAAAATGGAGACGCGGTCCATAAACGGAACGCAAAACGGAATCTCACGCAAGAGATCGCGAATGACGACGGCACGCTGGTCCGGATCAAGGCGCCGGCGACGGAAGGTTCGCGAAGGGTCACCGACGCCACGCGCACCCGGTGGCGCCACGGAGGATAGCATGCCCAGTGGCCCGCCGCTGTCCATAGCGGACATGGCAGCCACATCCACATCCTCATCGCCATCGTGCTCGTCACCTTCTTCAGCCTCCGCCCCCTCATCATCATCTTCGGGGCGTTCAAAATGCTCTGCAATGTGCGTGTGCGCGTGAGTGTGTCAGTGAGAAAGTGTGTGAGTGAGCGGGTGAGTGGGTGATGGGTCAAGGTCGTAGATGTACCGCAAACACTTGAATATGCCACCATGACATCCGTTTCCAACTCACACTCGGCAGACAGCAGACACCCCCCCTTCCAAAACCACCACCACCACAATCTACCTGCTGTCAGGTACTGCAGAATCGACTGCACGCTGTTTGTGAGCGCAGGCGCTGTCCAGAAATCTCTGCCAAGATATTGCAGGCGATCGTCGCGGAGATACATGGCCCTGAGGAGGCGGGCGAGGGAGCGGCGAAGCAGCTGGTGGTGTGCGATGATGGTGATGGCAGTGTGTGTGTGTGTGTGTGTGTGTGTGTGTGTGTGTGTGTGTGTGTGTGTGTGTGTGTGTGTGTGTGTGTTCGGGGGGGGGTGGCGGTAAGTGTGAAATCAGGCGGAGAACAGGAGGATGAGGAGGAGGAAGCTGGTGATGGTGAAGAGTTCCAACAAAACGAACAACGACGACAAGAACAAGAACAAGAACAAGAACAAAAACAAGAACAACGACAACAACTTAAACAACGCTGCCATGTGCACCTCAACTTGGCGCGGTGTGGACGTGTCTACTGCAGTGGAGAGAAAGAGGTTTGCGCACACATCACGCGACGAGCGCAGCAGAAACTTAAAGTCCTCCTCAGACCCAAACTTGGTCGACACTGCACACGCGGACAAGAGATGGAGGGTGAGGTCGCAGGCACACGTCGCGGCGTGCTGGCGAGCACATGATCGTACAGGCAACTAGACAGCCAGGCAGGCAGGCAGACACACACACACACACACACACACACACACACACACACACACACACACACACACACACACACACACACACACGTGACCAGCACCTTGGGCCCAGAAATCGGCGTCGTCAACGAGAACAAAGTGGTGGTGGATAATGTCTGGCCAGACGGACCAAAGTACGAACAGGAGAGAAGAGGAGAGGGGACAAAGGTGAGCACACAAAGCGCACGTGCAAAGACGAAAAACGGCCCGACACTTGAAACGGCGTCACCATCGATTCGGCCCACAGTGCAGCCCCCTCTTACTTCTTCAGCGCCACCACCACCACCACCACCACCACCAACAACAACAACAACAACTTAAACAACAACAACAACAACAACAACAACAACAACAACAACAACAACAACAACAACAACAACAACAACAACAACAACAACAACAACAACAACAACAACGAAACAACAACAACAACAACTAAAACAACAACAACAACAACAACTAACACAACAACAACAACAAC